ACCCGTCTTCTCTTTCTGCGTGCCAGCACCTTACAATGCCTGCTGTTTGGTAGGAGGTCAGAGCTGTCTAGATTCTCAGCTCCACCCTCAATTGGCAAACGAATCTTGTGAGCTGAGCAAATATTAAGTCTGAGATTGGAAACGTGTTTAGGCCGAGGTCAGCCAAAGAGAGGCGGGTGAGTGCAGAGCTCTGGGCTGCTGGGCAAAGCTGCGAGGGCGTGGGAAAGCTGCCCGACGGCTATGTCTGCTTCCCCTCAGGACTGCCTGGGTGCAGAAGATCAAGGCCGCGTCTGAGCAGTACATCGACACAGAGAAGAAGAAAAGGGAGAAGGCCTATCAAGGTAGCTGGGCACCCCCTGGGCGGTTGGCACCAGCCACCAGGGGGCCCTGGGGAGCAGGGCGGGTGGGTCTTACCTTCAGGACACCAGCGGCTGCTGCTGCTGCTCCTGCAGCAAGGGGTCAGTGGGGAGTGAAGGGCCAGACTTGCTGTGGGATCAGCCCACAGAGCTCAGCTGCTGCTGGCCCCTCTGCCCCCCAAAACTGTTCCAAACCTCCTGGAGGCCTCCTTGAGCCCCTCACCCGCTACTCCCAATACACACTCCTCTCTTGTCAGTTGGGGAGTCCCATACAGTCTCCCCATTGCTCTCCTTCCCTGGTCCTTTCCTTTCCCAGTGCACAGCCCCGTCAGAACCCTACAACCCCCCACCCAGGCTATAGCACGAGTATCCCCTTCGTTTCTGGAGTATTCTTTTTATGGGGCTGCTCTCAGTGTCTCTCCCCCTCCTTAAGCATCTTCCCTGTTGCCCCCCAAATTAAGGTCAAAGTTCTTACCCCAAACTCAGGGCCCCTACCTACAGTTGCCGAATTGAACATCTCACCTTTGAAACCCCGCCCGCCCCACCTCCGCGCATTCCTTGCCTGCCCAGTCCTCCGGTGTATGTTCCTGGCTGCTATAGTTGCAGTTCTTTATGTTTTTTTATTCAGGTTTCCCTTATTTTGTTACATACTCCCGAAAGGTATGTGTAACTCGGCTTTTACTGATTGATTGAGTCTTGTTTTAATGGCATTTTAAAGGCTTGCTATTGGAAATCAAGAATTGAATCATTTATAAAGCATACAAAGATCTCTTAATTCGTCAAAGATGTAAATCAGTTTTCCCATGTTAGTCTTGCTTAACATCAATACCTGTACATGTGCATTTTCCACGTGTTTAATTCTTTATACATTTATTGGTTACTTACTCTGTGCCAGCCCCCATGCTAGTCTTTAGGGCCTAGGCCCACAAAGTTGAAAAGGGCCCAACCCTGCCCACCCTGGAAAGGTGGGCACCGGTGAGAAGTGGGCCCCTTCTCATAGAGCAGGTTCTACTTGCCCTGAGCTTTGAAAAATCAGTAGTTCACCAAGCAGCCCTTTTGTAAGTTTTTAAACCCCCGAAGGCAAAACCTGCTTAACTAGCTTCATATTTACCAAGATAATCTTGAGTTCACTGATGCATTTCTCTTCGTAGTAAAAGCATTTTTTAGTGCCTCCTTAAATAGAATAAAGTCTTCAGTGAAACTGCTTTGTAGGCTGAAGTGTTTACACATAGTGGAATTACAGTCAGTGCTGAAGAAAATGGACTTTGATGTCTGATGTTTGAGTTTTGACCATGCCATTTAGAAGCTCTGTGACCTGAGCATGCTTCAGTCCTTCCTAAGCCTCAGTTTCCTCAGATATGGAGATGACAGTTATAAAGAGCTACCTTATAGGGTAACCTGCAGCTTAAGTAATGTATATACAGGTCTAGCACATGCCTAACACAAAGTAAGTATCCAATAAATGTCAGTAAGCATCCAGAAGTGCTGAACGAATATAATATATTATAATTTTATTAATATTACTATTTGCTAGGCAGCTGAGGGGTTAATACAAGGATGAGTGCTCTACACTGGCTCCTTCTAGCAGAGGAGATGGACATAGCAATAGCACAGACCTTCAGGCCCAGCAGGCTGTGGGATTCTCAGAAGCCCGGGATAATGGATGCACAGAGGAGGAAGGGGATGTGGGAGGGGAGGTGGGAGATTGGACCTGCATCTTGAGGGAACGGCTGCTGAGGGGCAGAGGTTGCAGGCTCTGTGGCCTGGGCAAGGTGCAGGGCAGCTAGACTGTGGTCTGCTGGGCCCGGTGCAGTGGCAGGTGGGCTGGGCAGTGTTAAGGCGGGTTGGAAATGCAGACTGTGAGTATGAACAGCTCGGTGTGATCAGGCGCCTGCTGTTTATTCCCAAAGAATAAATTAACGAATTCATCTATTTTGTAGCTCGCTCTCAAAAGACTTCGGGCATTGGGCGTCTGATGGTGCATGTCATTGAAGCTACAGAATTGAAAGCCTGTAAACCGAATGGTAAATGCTTCTTTCATTCATCAGATGTGGTGACAGCCCTGCTCTCTGCTGATGACTCTTCTGAGCATTGAATAATGGGATGTTTTAAATGCCATGTTTCCAATATCGCTAAAATGGTTATTGGACCCATATTATTACCACTATTTTCCCAATAAGCGCTAGCGCCTCCACCTTCAGTGCTTCTGAGGGAAGAAGCAGGAAGCAGGTCACACTGACACTTGCCCAGGCTCGTGGGGGGCAGCCGGGCATTGGAACCCACACGTCACTCCCCTGAGAGGGCACTGCCAGCCCTGGGGGCTGGGAGACCACAGGCAGCGACCCCTGCTGCCCAGTCTATAGAGAAGCCTCAGTTTGGATCCTGCTTCCGTTCAAGGAAGGCCCCATTGTCACTCATCTCACCTACATGGGTCACAAGTGTCCTTGGTTTGTTTTTGTTCAGGAAAGAGCAATCCTTATTGTGAAATCAGCATGGGCTCCCAGAGCTACACGACCAGGACCCTCCAGGACACACTAAACCCCAAGTGGAACTTTAACTGCCAGTTCTTCATTAAGGACCTCTACCAGGATGTGCTGTGTCTCACCATGTTCGACAGGGACCAGTTTTCTCCAGACGGTAAAGTATAACCCATCCGGCACGCCAGACTCTGGGGTCCAGATCCAGGGTGCCTGGCCTCATCTCCTCCCCACAGCACATAAGGGAAGTGATACAGGCCCACAGTCTTCACAACCAGCCTCAGCAGCTGGTGAGGGCACCACCTCGGGGGAAGGGGCAGCCTCAGGTCTGTTTCAGGGCATTGACCCCCATCACTCCCCATATAGATCATAGAAACACTGTGCTCTGGGCACCTACTGAAGGGGTGAGGGGTTCCCTGACCAGAGACGAGTATTCCAAACAGGCGGCCTCCCTCACTGTGTCATTTGTCACGCATGTCTCCACTCACAGTCCAAACAGTCATTAAAAGTTGTATGAACCCTGTTTCAGACACAACTCCTGTGGTAGTTTTTCAACAGTTTTATAAAGAAGCCTTCTGACTCTCACATTTATTCTCCAGATTTCCTGGGTCGTACCGAAATTCCAGTGGCGAAAATTCGAACAGAACAGGAAAGCAAAGGCCCTACCACCCGGCGACTCCTGCTGCATGAGGTCCCCACCGGGGAGGTCTGGGTCCGCTTTGACCTGCAGCTTTTTGAGCAAAAAACTCTCCTATAGGGGCCTCGGGCATCTGCCACCTTCTGGGACTGGAGGAGATGGGGGTGCTGCCCCCAGGCCGAAGCAGCATCACTCCGCTTCATCCTTCACAAGGCCTAGCGCTCGGGCCTCTAGGTTATCGCACACTAAATCGCTAGCAATCTATGCAAACACTTTCCTGTAAACAAACCACACCCCGTAGCACAGTGCCTTCTTAGTGCTAACATGCTCAGCTGTGTTTAGATGCCACGGTTTCCATTTTCAGGGCTGTAAAAAATTATTACTGGAACTGCGGCATCGGACCACCAGATGTTACCAGTTGGTTGAATGTGTCCACTGTGGGTGGTTTGGGTGACGCTGTAACCATTCCAACGCCCTGTGACCTCTGCTGGGTCACAGCCACTCAGGAGAAGGGCTGGGGAGGAAATGCTGCGGCCTGGGCAGGAACAGCCTGGCTCGGAAGGAGCGTCCGCTCGTGCACTGAACTGAAGCGGAAGCTTGATGGCTGTGCTCCTGGCCAGGCTTTACCTTCTCTGCTGAGACAATGTAGTTAGAAATCTAGGGGGAAAGCTTGATTTACTTTAAATACTGTGAACTCTAATGATGTGGAAAATATTTTTCAACTTTAATTTTCTGAAGTATAAATTATTTATGTAAATTCCTTGTTTTGCATATTTCATAAGACATGCATCTTTAAGCTTTATCATTGCCAATATGTACAGAAAGAGAATAAAGATATAAGTTTATGAATGTCACTTCTCTCAGAGCTTGACTGATTTACTTCCTGCTTGAAAGGCTGCTTATAATGGAACCGAATTTCCTTTCAGCGACAATGGGAGACGCCAAGGGCCGGGCGGGGCTGGGAGGGGGAGCCTCGGGACTCTGGAGCCTCAGCTGGACTCTGCTGTTGACCTGCTCTGTGACCCAGTGTTTCCGGGGCTGTTTCTCTGATGCTAGACTGGAGGCCAGGAATGGTTTTTAGTGTCACCTTTGCCTAAGGAACACAAAGTTCTGCTCTTAACCTCTAGGTCCTACTATGTCTTCCTTGTGCCTAGTGTCAAACTCAGCAGGAGCAGTGCGGGGTGGCGGTGGGGAGGGTGAGATGCGCAGAATCAGAACCAGCAGCTGGGTAATCGTACTGGAAATGGATTTTCACGTTTTCTAAAGACTGCTGGGAAAACCTGGGGAGCGCACGTGGGAGTGGAGTGTAAGGGTGCCGACCAGAGGACGCACACCCTAAGTTAGAGAAAGACCGAGTGAACTGAGGGGGGCACTCAGTAAGGCAGCCACTTTTTATTGTATCTGTCTTAGCCTCTGGGGAAAACACATTTTTAAAACTGTCAATACATGGTGGTGTGGTTTCTTAATTATCACACAGACACTGAACTCAAGAATTAAGGGAAGTTTATTGCAGACGCTTCTTAGATGCAGAACAATTCCTGAGCGCCTGCCGTGGCCCTCACCCCACGGTTCCTGCCGGCAGGTGGCTTCCTCCAAGCAACCTTCCTGTGCCCTCTACCAGCCAAGCAGCAGGCTGGGTGCTCCTTGGTCGCTGAAACCTTTTGAAAGTTGAGAGAAGAGAAGACCTAGGTGTGAACTAGGGATGAGGGGCTTACGGAGAGTTCCTGGGCTAGGCTGAGCTGACCCCCCCGAAGCGCAGTTCCAACCCAGCTGAGTGGCTCACCTGGCAGGCAGGGTCCCCACCTGAACCTCCTGCCTCTGCCTCCCCTTAACACTATCTGGATTCAGAACCATGCAGAGATTTGGGGACACAGCCAACCCTGTCGTGTGTGTGGTACGATTTGAGGGACCCCTGTGGTCCTGCTTTCAGCAGCGCTGACACTGGGATGATAGTGATTTAGAAGATACTCGATTCCTTTCTTCCCTTCTCTTTCCAAGCCCCTAAAGCTCATCTCCGCCTTCGCTGACAGCTGGCGGAGGACCTCGCTTCACTGAAGGAGGTCAAGGGAAGTAAACCATCTTCCAAGTCACGGCGCCAGCCTCCTCGTGTCCGTGCTCTCGCTATGGATGGACTGTCCCGCCCTCCGCCTGAGCCCTGCAATACCACCTCTTCACAGGTAAGGGGGCAGGGAGTGGGGGACAGACGAGAGGGACAGTTTTAAGAAGTCAGAGGCTTCTCCAAAGGGGTGAGATCTGTGCAGAGGTCTGAGTGAACCGAGGGAGTGAGACACGGAGACTCTCAGGAAGGTTCTCCAGGCAGAGGCACTGGCAGAGGCAGGAGCCTGAGCCGGGAGTGAGGCCGAGGTGCTCAGAAAACACGACACGGCTGGGACGCTGGGGCACAGTGAGGAGAGGCGGGAGGTGAGGCTGGAGAAGGGACAGGTGCCCAGGCACATAGGGGTTAGAGGCCAGGATAAAGAGGATAAAATTCAAAGTGTGCGGGAAGACGTTCAAAGGCTCCGAGGAGGGGAGAAACCGAGTCTGATTGACATTTCTCAAAGAATGTGGCCCTGCACGGGGACTTGCCTGTAAGGGACGACAGGAGCAGCTGGGAGGCCAGCGAGGAGGCCGGTGCACTGGGCCAGGCGCGGTCACGGGCTCCAGCCGCTGGTCGTGGGAGGAACCGAGAGGGGAACCCGCGGCCGGACTCGCTACCTATTAGACGCGGGGTCCCAGCCAGCTCCTAGATTTTTGTCCTGAGGGGTCCTGGCTGGATGCTGGTCCTACTCTCAGAACCAGGGGGCATTTGGAGGGAAAGCAGGTTGGGCGAGAAGAGGTGCAGAAGTGCAAAAGTGAGAAGCGGCCCTGCCTGGGGCTGGTTAAATTCAGGACACCCAGAGCCAGCGCGAACACGGGAGCATGGAGGCCGCGGGCATAGAGCAGCGACGCCTCTGTCCCCTGAAAGCTGCCCCGGGGGCAGCGGTGCCCTGCTGGACCTGGTCCGCTTTCCTCACTGCACTCATTACCAGCTCTCGGGATGTTACACACCGGTCCCATTGTTTACTGTCCACCTCCCCCTCTTCAAGATCAGGGGTGACCTGTTTTGCTTTCCAGCCCCTCAAACTCTGCCTGGCTCAGAATCGCACTCATAAAATTGCGAGGGGGGGAAGCAAACGCGTGGGAGAATGCTAAACGGCGACCGTAACAGGAGCTAAACCACAAGGTAGTGCTAATACATTGTCCGTGAGTGAGTAAGAAATGTGTGTCCCTTATTTATCCTTCAGGGCGAGGAGGGGGAAATAGAGACGGAAAGACTGACTGTGTGCCCAGACCACCAGCCATTCCCCCGCTGCCGCCTGACTGGCAGGTGGGGGGGGCTGTGCTTCTCCGAGCCCGGGACACGGTGTGGAGAGAAGGAGCGAAGGGGGCCAGGCACCCAGACCTGGAGCGGCAGCAGGCGAGGCTGGGCCGGTCTCGCGCACCGAGTTTCACTGCGGCCCCCTACGGTGGGAAACCCGTGCTCTGCGAACACCTAGATGTCTGTACACTTTACACTTTAAATCTGGGGGCTTTTACTTCATAACCTTTACTGCTTTCATTTAGTATGTGGTCCTTTCGGGAACTTTCTGTCCTGGCTGAATTAGGGGGAACAAAATTTGGGGCCTGGCTTAGGTGTGACAATGGTAAAGGGTAGAGAGAGGGCAGAGGTGGTGGGGGGAGGGGGCAGAAGCGCAGGAGGGGGAGCTCGGGGGAGTCCGCAGACTTACACCTTTAGTCTAAGATAGCCCCCAGGCCTTCGGCACCTGTTTCCTTCCCGCCGGCCTCACCCTGCTGGAAGCGGCGCCTGAGGACAGAGCCCCCTCCCGGGGCAGCCTACGCAGAAATTAAACAGGGTGGGCACGTTCGTTATCCTAAAACCGACCCAGATAGTCTGTGTACCGCAGTGGCTGTCGGGGATAGGAGAGGAACCTGCTCTTTAGGACCCTAATATCCACGAGTGATTCTGGGTCCTTCCCCCTTTTAAGGCTCCAGCTACCGAGTTTCAAGACTTCTTACCATCCCTCAGTCCCAGCCGCCATTCTAAAGGCAGCGGGCTGTGACGCTACGCCGCAAGGACACTGAGCGTCCCCAGTGGCTGCTCGTCTCTGACGGTCACCTGCTTCTGCTTTAAATCACCACGTTCCTCCTGAGGCGATGGCCGTCCTCTCCGCTGGTTCGGCCAGCGTCCCCGTCTCTAAAAGCCCCCGGCGCCTGCCACACTGATTTACCCGTCAAGTTCTGCAGCCGCCCTTGGAGCTTTTTAGGAATAGAAAATTGCAGGCCAGCCTCTAAACCACAGCGTACAAGCCCATTTTTCTCCTGCCTTGCTAGGCTCTCTTTTTTTATTTTATTAACTTTACTGAAGTATAATGTACACACCATGTTAAGTGTACAAACCAGTGCTTTTTCAGTGTGTCTACAGAGTTGTGTGATCATCACCACAATCTATTTTAGAACATTCCTATCAGTCCAAAACCTCATGTTCATTTACAACCAGTCCCCATGCCCAGCCCCAGCCCTGGGCAGCCAATAATCTACTTCCTATGTCTATCGATTCACTTCTTCCAACATGTCATATAAATAGAATCACACACTATGTGGTCTTTGGTGATTGCCTTCTTTCACTGAGTACAACAGTTTCGAAGTTCATCCATGTTGTGGCATGTATTGCTACTTTTCCCCCTTTTCATTGCCAAGTAATATTCCTCGTCCAAGTAGACCACATTTTGTTCATTCACCAGTTGATGAGCAACGCTTACGTTGTTTGCCATTTGGGGATATTGTGACTAATACTGTCAAACCTCTTTCTTCTAACACCATAACCAGTTTCTGGGGATGACTCCCCATGTTCCGTGCACAGTAGTATGTGTCCCCTCTCTGCTTGTCACCCCTCTTCACTCTGGGTACAAAATTGTAACAGCTACTACCCCACAGAACTAGTCCAAAATTACATTTATACTGCTCCAATTCAGTTAAAGTCACTTTTAACTTATATGAGTTAATTTTTTCTATGTCTGTGCTTGTTATTTCTGAATGTGTTAGCTATTTGTTCTTTAAAACCAGCTATGAGCTGACGAAAGCCGCCACCGCACCCAGACATGGGTGGCAGATGCCTGGTGTCGTGCCACAGGAGCCTGGCACACGCCTCGGCACTGACTCCAGCAACTCAAAGGGTGGGAACACAGCCAAGCCTCTTAAATAAAAGAAGAGCAAAGCTACGGAATAACAGGCTTACCTGCAAAGAACTTCTTTTTCTTCTTCCTAGGATCCGAGGTGAGGAGGGGATTTTGCTGAGGGTTTCAAATCAAAACTACTAACGTTGAAATTCACTTTCACTTTTAACCTTTAACAAGATAACATGTGTAAGGATGTTTAGAAAACAATACGAGGTTATAGTCTTTCAGAAAATATTACTATACTTTCACTGCTGTGTATATTGTCTAAAATACCATTATTTCAAATTTGTGTGAATTGGGGGGCACGTGAGAGTTGCTGAAACCATGTGGAGATTGGTTTACTATTTACTGAGAACCTACTCAGATAGCAAAGTTTAAAGCACACCCTGTCCACTGGGAGTGTATACACTAATGTTAAAAGAAGCCGTAGAGACTGTGTCATTCCCAAGCATAAATATAAAATGTGTTTCCAAGAGAGAACCCAAACCCTCCATTTCCCAGTCTCTCTTGCCCTAAGGTGGCAGGCAGGTGCCTTAGGTCGCCCTCCAGTCTCGCCCCACTCAGGAGCTGATTGGAATGGTGAAACTGGCCCTCTCAAGGGCATCCATTTTCCATTTTGCCTGCACAGATTATAGCAGAGCTGGTGTGGTTCTGAGGCCAACAGCTGGAGCACACCTTCCTGATTCTGCAGCTTCCTGACCATAGCACAAACAATACATCCCTCTGCACTGTGATTTTGGGTGTTGTTCCTGAAACTTAGTCCTGTTTCTTAAGACCTCCCAATGACTCTGTGAGCAGTATAAATCCTCAAAAAGTGAATCCTTTCCTAGTGTGGGCTCAGCTGCCTGAAACCAAGAGCCCTGGCCATTCTTCTAACATCCTCAGTACACCTAGTATGCACATGGTCACACACAAAAATTCATGGAAAGAATCAGTCTGATCTGACTTAATCAGAATGAGTTTTCCTAGGAAATGTGGATTTTGAAAAATGTTTTGAGTAAAAGAGAAGAAATGAGTATAGCAAACATCTAGATTAGCATATAAAGCATAAGTAATGGAAAAAGGGTTTCCTGTGTTAATATGTCCAAGAAGGGCATTCAATCAAAAATTATAAGACACACTAAAAAGGCAAGACAAACCAATCTCAAATATCTGAAAGTCAATCAAAAATTACAAGAACATGCAAAAAAAGACAAGGTAAAATAACCTGCTGTCAGGAGATAAAGCAATCAACAAACCAGATTCAGAAATGACCCTATGGAAATTTAAAATAAAATAAAATAAAAGTTTTAAATAACTATGAATAATATAATGGAAAGGTGAACAACATGTATGAACTGATGGAGGATTTTAGGAGAAATTAAAACTATATAAAAAATCAAATGGAAACATTAGAAAAATTATCACATCCGAGGGGGGAAATTCCTCTGATAGGCTCTTTGGTATGTGGGACACAGCTGAGGAAAGACTCAGTGAACTTAAAGGTAGGTCAGTAGAAATTGTCTAATTAAAATACAAGTAGAAAACAATAAAAAAGAACAGTACCTAAGAGCTATATAGCTATGGGGTAATATCAGGTGATCTAACACACATATAATTGGAATCTCAGAAGAAAAAAGAAAGAATAGGATATAAGACATATTTGAAGTGATAATGACCTAGAATTTTCCCCAAAATAATGAAAGACATCAAACCACAGATACAAGAACCTCAGAGAGCCCTAAGTAGGATAAAGAGAAAAAAAGCAGAGCAAAACACCTGGACATCATAGTCTAAGTAATGAAAACCAAAGACAGAGAGGAAACCTTGAAAGTACCCAAGAAAAAAGAAACATCACATGCAGAGAAACAAAGACAAGAATTATAGTAGATTTCTCGTTAAAAAACAAAATTTAAAAAATAACAGCCCGGCCGGCATGGCCCAGTGGTTGAGCATCGACCCCTGACCCAGGAGATCCTGGTTCAATTCCCCATCAGGGCACATGCCTGGGCTGCAGGCTCCATCCCCAGTAGGGGGCGTGCAGGAGGCAGCCGATCAATGACTCTCTCATCATTGATGTTTCTATCTCTCTCCCTCTCCCCCTCCCTTCCTCTCTCTGAAGTCAATAAAAACATATTTTTAAAAAAGTGTAAAGATGCAAATGATATTTTAAAAAATAATAACAATGACAAAATTTATATCACTCTCCCAAGAAAAAGTTTTCCAATCCCAATGGGTTCCATAATTTCTACAATATTAACCATTACCTGCTCCTTTGACAAAATTCGCTTTCTATGTAGCTTGTAGACAGTTTAAGCCAGTCATTTGGAGTCACAAAGCACCTTGAATTGGAAAGGCTTGGGAATCTGGAATACAGTTTGGCCTTCTCAATCTCTTTAAATTCTTTCATTGTAAGTATTTTGCCTGCAAGAAGATTAGTAATATAAATTAGCACAGTTAAATGCAACTACCATTACTCTTGGGCTATGAAAGCACGTAACAATTAGAAGCTGAGTACCGGTCTCACACTGAAGAAGAGTTCTTTTTTCATCATCTTTGTCATACTGTGCCTTTTTCAAAGGGTCACGAAATGGCGGGATGGTAACCTACAAGAAAAGCATTTCTTTGAGGACTGGGTTTCAGGTCTTTTTCAGTCTATCCTAAACATCCATTTATGGCTCTAATGCCAGAGGAATCAAGAATAAAGTATCTACAAACTAATGGCAGTCTAACCGCTATAGGTGTTAAATTATATATTACAAAGAGAAGGGGGCTACATCTCTTAGCAAGGCCTTCCAGCCATGGTTAGCTCTTATTTTAATAGCCTCTTCAGATCATTGTGGATATTCTTAGATACTGTACCCAAACTCAACAAGTCGCAGTTTCTTAAAGATTAGTTATGATGTGGAATCTGAAACCATATCAATGAAATATTCAAACTCTGCTACATTAAAATCCATTGGTCTGTCTTGAACTTTGAATGGATCTTTCATCCATGTCATGAATTGGTTGTTTGGGGGAAAAATCAGATCTCTGAGTTATGTGAGATCTTCCAAGTGTTAATACGTTTCATTATACAATAATCACATTTATTAATATTATTACCAAACTCATCCGTAAAGTCTTTGAGTATTGGCACACTCAATATGATTTTTCCAAAATTCACATTCAAAGCTCACATTTTATCATTGGCGACAAATGCTGTCTTTTGTTGTAATTGCAATGACAGACTCACTTCGATAATTTTCCAGAAAACGTCTGCCAAATACCCAAGATTTAATAACCATAGTTTTGTAAGTCGTTCTTTCAAGTAAAAATGGTGTCCCATGGAAAACGACCAGCCAGTCCAGCTCGCAGTTCTAACAATCATACTGCATTTCCGTTTGCAGCAGAAGTGCTCTTTGCATACTTCCCACTTCATCACACAACGTGAAAAAGATATACACTCGCCCTGGCCAGTTTCACTCAGTGTTTAGAGCGTCAGCCCACCGACTGAAGGGTCCTGGGTTCAATCCCCGGTCGGGGAGCCTGCGGGAGGTAACCAATCAATGTGTCTCTCTCACATTGATGTTTCTCTCTCTCTCTCTCCCCCCTTCCCTCTCTCCCTTCCACTCTCTCTAAAAATCAATGGAAAAAATATCCTCAGGTGAGAATTTTTTTTAATTAAATAAAAATTAAAAAATAGAATGACTACCAGTACAATTTGGTAACACTGACTTAAGTTGTTAAGGGACCATTGCTTTTGTGCCATCAGAGCAAATGTCAACACAATGAAAAAGGCAAATAACATTTATGAAAATATATGGCCTAATGGAGCCCCGAAAAGGTTTCGGAGCTCTCAAAGGGCTACGCGCTTCGCTGTGAGAACTGCTGCTATGACCTCAAAGTGCTCAGCTTCCCTTTAGAGGTGACCTGTCAGCTCCAGTTAGAAAGGCACCATGGTGAAGAACAGAATGGGATTTTGGTACCAAAAAGACCTGGTTTCAAATCCCAGCACTGCCCCTTACTAGCTATGTTACTAGTTAGTATATCTAAGACTCTTATGCTAAACTCTCAGTTCCAGTCTCACATATAAAAATAGGAACAGCACATAAGCACAGACACCGCAACGTGGGAGGAGAAAGGACCTGCTCTGCATGCAAATGTCAGCAGTTTAAAGTGTCTATGACTCGAAATAGTTTTTTGTTTTATTTTGTTTAATAATATTCACTATTAGCAAAAATAAGGAAAAAAGGGACTCTGGTAGGGGATGCAAATTTACACATTCCGGAGAACAAGTTGGTAATATGAATCAAAATCACGCATAACCTTTAACTCAGCACCTTACTGAAAAAATTAAGAAATAAATACTTATAGGATGTCCATCACAATGTCATATATAACAGCAATAGGCCCAAACCATCCAGATGTTCAAAATGGAGTATGTCCAAAAACTATGGTTTAGCAAGGTACCACATACGGTTAGGAGCACATCTATGCTCTGCTACTTGCAGCTGTGTGACCTTGGACAAGTAGCTTAGCCTCCCTGTGCCTCGCTCACCTTAGCTGTAAACTACCTGACACAGTAGCAGTGAAGATGAAATAAAGTGAAGGGGAAAATAGAAGTCTTCACATTTGGTGAATCCCTCAGAGTAAGTTAGCTGCTACTAATAATAGTATACCATGCAACTACTGAGATTATATGTTTACATTTGTGGACAAAGAAAGAAGCAAATCATAAACTATTAATGAAAAAAGCAAACTATATAACCTAATGTATGGTATAATCTCATTCTTGTAAAATAAAAATGTGTATTTACACCTATATAAGGAAAGAAGTGTTGAAGGATATACAGAAAAATGTTAATAACTTCATCCTGGGTAATGGAATTGAGTGGTTTTTTTAATTATTTAACAATTGATTTTTATCATGAAAATGTATTACTTTTGTAACAAATTTAAAAGTATATGAAAACTTTAAACATTACCTATTACCCAATCGGTATACAATATTTTCAAATTTTACAGAGGTTTAATTTAAGTTGGACTTGAGCTTTCTTGTTACTTTGTAATACAGGGTGATGGGAAACTATTCTTAAGATGTTACTACATTAGGGAATTACTAGAAGACTGCTATATCATGGCTTGTCAAAAAAACTACATAATACCAAAGTTAAAATAAATCTATCCTACCTTCATAAAATTCTGGTCCTCTTTGCTCATATAAAAAGGATCATACTCTTTTGGATCGTAATGCTCTATAAATGCATTTCCCTGTGGGAAGGAAATAAGCCACACATGAGAACGAGAGATGCACAGTGAATTTTGAGCATAACAGGACTCGAAAGTCAAACAGTCAGATCCATTCTTATACTTCTAAGTTGCATCGGTAACAAATGCAAAAGGGAAGGGAACACCAAATTTGAAATTAATGTATCCAAGTAATAAATATTCTAGTGGTAGAAGGAATCTACTTAAAATTTGCAAGATTTTAATAAAGATTTGGGAATTTGTTTTTAAACGTCTACTAGTAAAATATCTCATAGCTCTTAAAAGTGCCAAGAGAACAGAAATATTTTATAGCTTTGTAAATAACTGAGTTTCAGAAATATATATATAGATGTAGATACATCTATATATATACACACATATATATCCTGTACCTAGAGTACAAAATTTTTAATTGGTGTATAAAATTAATAATTACATAGGAACAACAAAGAAAACTGATCCAAATGTATGCATTTAAATCCAGAACTAACCCTCCTCCTCAGTGTGTGCCACGTGCCCTGGGTTTAAGAGCAGCCTTGCTGCAGCAGAGCACGGATTAATCACAGACAGAGTGGGAGGCGCAGGCTGTTTGAAACGATTATAAATACAGATAACCACAGTTTTTAAACCAACTGAAAAAAGTGTCAAATGATCTCTTGGTACCTTTTTATTTACATATTTTACAAAGCTGTCTAATTCCTCTTGTCTCCTTTTTTTGATCTTCTTATGGGAACACACTTTTTCTATAATTTTCTTCTGGAGAGGATCTGCCACACGGTCAACCCATCTTTTGTATAACATCTCCTTCCTTCTTGTATTTAAGAAGTCGTGATGTTGTAAATACTTATCTAGTTCCTGGTAAACAACGGTACAAGAGACAAATATGGTATCTGAAATCTTCCTTGTTCTAAAGTGTAAACTGTATTTCTATTCCTAATAACAACCCACAAAGTCATTCATTAATTCGGTCATTTACTTGGCTTCCACTGTGTGGCACATGCTGTACTGGAAAAAAAGGATTACATGGGTAAATTAGACAGTGTGCTGGCTCTCCCCGGGGAGACGGACTACGAAACAAATCCATGAAACAACTGATGGGACAAACAGCACCATATATATATATATACA